GAGACAGTGGAATGACTTTAAAACTGCCAGCCTAGAGTTCTATGCCCAGTGAAAATATCTGTCAAAAATGAAAATAAATTTCAGGCATATTCAGAAAGAAAGCTGAGGGAATTTGTTGCCAGCAAATCCACCGCACACGAAATGCTAAGCAGTGAGAGAGGAAATGCTTAAGGAAGTTCTCACAGCTGAAGGGAAGTGATCTGAATGGATTCATGCGGGAAGGAATAAAGAGCATCAGAAGGGCTAAATGTAAAATGCTATTTAATTTTGTAAAAGATTACTGACCATTTTAAACAACAACACCAACTATTGGGGGATGTAAACATGTGAAAAAGCACCATATATGACAGTAGTAATATAAAGGGTGGAGGGAGAATTATACTCTGTAATTATACATTGTGAAGTTGTAAAATATGAATTCAATATGGATAGTAATAAATTATAGATCTCTGGTAACCATTAAAATATCATAAAAGTTATAGCTAAAAAGGCAATGGAATTAAAAACGGAATAATAAAATCTTGTTTTTGGATGTTGTGGAAAAAAAAAAATCTTTTTTTTTAATGCCACTTTAAATTTATGGTAATTACCATATGCTTAAAGTCTAATTTTAAACCTAGTGGTGTTTTTTCAACAGAAGTTACTGTGTAACACCACTGCATTCTGTTTTTTATGTAACAGTTTCCTGGTATTGTTTTGGAATTTAAAAAATGCAGAAAGCTAATGAAGCCTAAGCTCTATTTTCTCCTAATATGGTGAGGTGTGAAGCTGTCGATTAAGGCTCATCAAATTGTTGGGTGGGCCTGAGGATTGCAATTATGTAATGTTCCAAGAGTGGAAGGTCATGGTGTGTACTCCACCCTGGGATGCAGGGGAAATATTTGGATCCCTTACTAAAAAAGTGATCTCTCTTCCAAGTATGCTTGTCCCCAAAATGCTGTCTGACTTCTTTGCCAAAGAAAATAGTTGATCATTGCAAATAAAGGATTCTTAGTGTGGATTGTCTCTGATGAAACCAGGGTGTTACTCAGCTGGTCACGACCAGTATTTCACATCTATTCCTGCTGTCCCCAGCAGAGCCTGGTGAAGATCTCTGAGATTCCATCAGTATACTTTGCATAAGTAAGAACTGTTCATTGAAATGATCATTATTAGCATTAAATATATCTTCCCTTTGTCTTATGTGATTCACTTTTTGTTTCCCAAATTTCTCACTTCTTCAAACATTTTCAGTGTTTGGGTATATCTGCATGTTTGCTTAATTTCTAAGATATATTTTATTACTCTGTGTAGCCATTGAGGTGGCATCAGTGTACTGGCATTGAAAAATGTCTGATATGTTTTTGAGTCAAGAAAGCAAAGTAGTTCATAGAACAACATTGACATGATACAGAGGGGAGGAGAAGACCTTCCATTTGTACATTGTTTAAATGCTTACAGTGTATTGTATCATAATTTTTAAAAACTTGGTTTGTGTCTGCTGTTAAGACTGTAAATTTTTTGCAAGTAAAGCATATTTATTTTAACCTAAAAAAATCCAAAACTCCTGAAAGTTCTGGCTATTCATATACTTTTTCTGAATATGGTACTTGTACATGGAGGGCAGTGGGCTGTGTGAGCAGTGGTAAATGATTTCAGTTTTACAAGAAGTAGATGTCTATGTAATAGTACTCTATGACTTTGTTAGTGGTTTTCTGTATTAGTCTTGTTGCAAAAGGAAAATAATCTTAAAAGCCTAAGAATAATAAAGGGAGCTGTAACTGTCTTGATAGCTGGTCAGTTTCTCATGTGTTTCAATTACTAGTATGTGTCTGTCTTGTTGAACTATAAAGAATTCAGTGAAAAACTCTTATCACCCAATCATCAAACAAAGCTGCCTAAAATTCTTTTTATCATACAACACATAAGAAACAGTGGTCATTTTATATTTTCCAGAAATGCTTTTTTTTTTTTTTTTTTTTTTTCCTTTTTGTCTTTTTTCGTGTCCGGCAACGGATCGCAACCCTCAGTGTCGTGCCCACACCAGACCGGGACCGGCAACGGGATCGCAACCCTCGGTGCAGCACCCACACCTCGCTCAGCCAGTGAGCGGGAACCGGTCTGTATGTGGGATCCGAACCCTCGGCGGGAGCGCCGCCACGCTCCCAAGCGGCGCACTGTAGCAGTGCGCCACCGGGCCGGCCCCAGAAATGCTTTAATTTTAAAAAATAAATCAGGTCGGGGCCGGCCCGGTGGCGCACTGGATAGTGCGCCGCTTGGGAAGCGCGGCGGCGCTCCCGCCCGAGGGGTCGGATCCCACATACAGACCGGTTCCCGCTCACTGGCTGAGCGAGGCGCGGGAGCAACGCCGAGGGTTGCGATCCCATTGCCAGTCCCCGGTCCGGTACGGGGGCAACACTGAGGGTTGCGATCCGTTGCCGGACACGGAAAAAGACAAAAAGACAAAATAAAATAAAATAAAATAAAATAACTGAGGGTTGCGATCCGTTGCCGGACACGGAAAAAGACAAAAAGACAAAATAAAATAAAATAAAATAAAATAACTGAGGGTTGCGATCCGTTGCCGGACACGGAAAAAGACAAAAAGACAAAATAAAATAAAATAAAATAAAATAACTGAGGGTTGCGATCCGTTGCCGGACACGGAAAAAGACAAAAAGACAAAATAAAATAAAATAAAATAAAATAACTGAGGGTTGCGATCCGTTGCCGGACACGGAAAAAGACAAAAAGACAAAATAAAATAAAATAAAATAAAATAAATCAGGTATCTTGCTGTCAGTTAATGTTCAAAGCTAGAACTACTTACGGTCAAGCACCAGGAAAGAATCAATGATAAAATTCCAGAAATTTCTACTAAAGTGATTCGGAAATCTAGAAGAATTCCTAGAGGTATTAGAGAATATAAACAGGTGAAACTTTTTTGTCTTATTTATGGAAAGATTAGTCCCCCTCTCTTTTTGAACTTCCACGCATATCAGTGTGCTTTATACATGCCATAGGCTGTGGCTAAATTTGCTAACAATCCACTGCTGCTCTGCATATCAAAATGTAATTGTCCTAAGTGAGTCATGATGCCCACAGTTGTACTTTACCTGCCATTGTTCTGCTTACCTCTTTCCACCCGGGAGTTCATGTTTTGTGTGAAACAGCTCAGCTCACACTGGTTAAAGCCTTTTGTTTCAATCTACCTGTACCCAAGGAGAAGAAGGCAAGCTTGTAGGAGGTTCCTTGAAAGGAATTGCAAACCCAAACCATATTTGAACATTAAAAAAGAAAAAAAAATCATGTAAGAACAAGAACAGAAAATTCTACTGCTTAGAGTAACTCAGTGTTCATGGTTGGGAACCAAAGTGTTCCAGTTAATCAAACATTCTCCTCCTAGGAAATGTAGTAATCATCAGTCATATATCCTGAAAGTCAGATGTTTTGTTTTGTTTTTATGCAAATCACCAAAATTTCTCAGAATTCCAACATTTTGGCGTCTATCTACCCTACAGTGTTTTTTACTTTTTCAAATAAACATTTTTTGAATATATCTTCTGAATGCTGTACATGTGCTAATTCATTTTGTCCTTGCAGCAACCCCAGGAGGAAATTGCCCCATAAACCCTTTCCCTGCCTTGCTCCGGCTGTTTGTCCCCTAGATTGGCCATGGTACTGTTAGGTAGAGAGTCATCACAGGAGCCCACCCGGCCCTTCTCGGTGGTTGGACCCTACCCTCAGTGGCGATCCCATTTTCCCTGAACTGACCGTGATCTCTGTGTTCCAGGTCGATGCCCCACTTCTCCAGTGTAGGTTTTTCCACTTAATGTTATAGATTATTTCCTCTCACTATCTCATAGTCTCAGCAGCTACTTTTTAAAAATTTTATTTATTTTTATTTTTTCCATTTTTTAAAAGTTGTAATAAATAGACATAAAATTTACCTTTTTAACAATTTTTAAGTGTGCAGTTCGGTGGTATTAATTACATTTATAATTACGTTCATAATGTTCTGCAGCCATCACCACCATCTATCCCCAGAGCTCTTTTCAACTTGCCACACTGAAACTCTGTACCCGTAGAACAATAACTCCCCCCTCCCCCTCCCCCAGGACTTGGCAATGACAATTCTGTCTCCATGAACTTGACTACTCTAGGAACCTCATATAAATTGAATCACATGGTATTTGTCTATTTATGAGTAGCTTATTTCACTTAGCATATGCTCAAGGTTCATCCATGTTGTATCATGTATCAGAATGTCCTCCCTTTTTAAGGCTGAATAATATCCGGTTTTATATATCCATTTGTCCAGTGATGGACACTTGGGTCGCTTTCACCTTTTGGCTATTCTGAACAATGCTGCTATGAACATGGATGTACAGATATCTCCATGAGACTCTGCTTTCAATTCTTTTGGCTATATACCCAGAAGTGGAATTGCTGGATCATATGGTAATTTTATTTTTAATTTTTTGATGTACCACTATACTGTTCTCCATTGAGGCTGCACCATTTTACATTTCTACCAACAGTGCACCAGGGTTGCAATTTCTTCACATCCTCATCAACACTTGATGTTTTGTTTTTTTTAATAGGAACCGTTTTTGCTTTTTGTTTTGTTTTGTTTTAATAGTAACCATTCTAATGGGGTGAGCAGCCAATTTTTTACACCCTTCACTGCCATCATCTTAGATACTTTACAAAAGCAAGCCTTTACATGTTTTGGCTAACAAAAATAACTTACCATTTTATAATTATAAAAAATTATAAATGTGAAACTTTATAAAAAATATTTTCATGTTAATTCCTGTGTGGCTACAGAATTATGAAGTGTAGAGAATAAAAAAGAAGGGCTGCCACCGAATGGAGATTATTTCCTCAAATCCTTCTCTACCATACCTACTCCATTTCCCCACCGATTTCAACTTAAATTTAATTTTGTGACTTTATAGCATAAAGACATTGATTTTTACTCACAGATATTATTCTTTCCTCAGAAAATCCATTCCTCGCTGCCGAAGAATTAACAGGATGCTATCCAATGAATCCCTACGTTCTCCTGCATTCACCCGCTCCAACTCACAAGCCTCCATAGACAGCGCCTCCATGGAGGATTTCTGGCGGGAGATAGAAAGTATTAAAGAGAACAGCATGGCAGGGCAGGAAGGGCAGCCGCCAGCCGAGGCCAAGCCTGTGGATGGTAAGGTGCTACATCTGCTTTCCTGAGTGCTAACTGTCTTTCTCTGTATGCTTGCTCTTGTTCTCTTGACAGGCAGAAATCACCCCACTAGTAGTTTAATGAATGAATGAGTAAAATTCGGTATATCAACTACCTGCTCCCACTGATTTATGTCTACTGGACTGGCTCAGGGTGGCTTTTACAAGGTGATCTGAACTGAAAGAGGGCTGGGCCTCAACAAAATCCAACTTGATCCCTTATATAGCACCACTTAGGGATGCTGAGCCTACATTATTGATTTAATTCATTATCCTTAAGCAGACTGCAAGGGTATTCTGATTTTGATGACTTTTACATTTGTATACTTGAATATTAATTACCAAAAAAAAAAAGAGAAAGTTTTTTTTGCCGGTATAATTTCAGAGGAAAAAAAAATTGCCTTTGAAGCATTTACTGATATTAATGTATTAGATTGTCTTGCATTCCACAAAGTAAAAGCCATAGTAAATATTCTGGTTTTCAGTGAAACTAAACAGAAGCAGGTTGAAGACCAAAAAAAGAGTATAATTGTCCTTAGTTCTCAAAAATAGCAAGGTTACTAGCCTGGGATTAAAAGCAGAGGTCATCTCTTCCACACCCTAGCTATTGAAAAGTAAATATATAAGATAGCCGAGAAAGACTGGAGATCGTTTAGTGAGCGTACAGCTAAGAATGTTTTCATTAGTCAGTGTGACTAACCTCAAGACAACTACGTAAGCTGAAACTCCAAAAACCTTCTCATTTTTCATTCCCTTTTCTACAAGTCCTTCCTCAGGACGAAGAAACAATAAGTTTAGATGTACACAGTTAGTATGCGTCCCACGTCATCAGATACATAAAGTCCTGGCACGTGGTTCATGCAGATCCATTCATGGGAGCCATCATCTGCCAGTGAAGTGTGTCTTTACTCCTGTGACTTCCTTTCCTACATTTTGCCTCGTTGGATCCAGAAAGTCACATAAAGGAACGTACCTCATATCTCCTACCCCTTTTTCCTTACTATCTATCTATCCAGCCAGCCATACTAAAAACCGCACGTTCACTCTGATAGCCTCCAGTTCCCATCCAGCACCCCAGGTTTGTTGCTGTCCGCCCTTTTTCTGTATTCGTAACTGCCTTCTCCAGCAACAAGAAATCCGGCTTCCACTCCCTGCCACGTCTTTACTCATTTGCTCAAGCCCGCCATCCATGGAAAATATTTTCAGGTTTGCTAGCCTAAGATGCTACGAAAAAGCAGACCTACTAACTAGAGTTTATTACCGTATTTACCCCTATTTTTCCTTGAAATAGTTGCACAGTTATTAAGTGTGCCGTTCAGTGAGCTTTGACCCATGCACACAATCCTGTAACCTCACACTGATCAAGGGAACATTTCTAACCATCCAGAAAATTTCCTTGTGCTTCCTCTAGTCTCGTCCTGTCCCTCCCAGTGACTTGCTGTCTCTGGCCAGAGGCAACCATGGTTCTGATATTTGTCCTTCGTAGATGAGTTTTGGGTTTGGCTTCTTTCACTGAGCGTAATATTTGTCACTAGTTCATTCCTTTTTATAATTGGGTAGTTTGTATTAGTTCACTAGGGCTGCCATAACAAAGTACCACAAAACTGGGTGGATTAAAACAACAGAAATTTATTCTCTCACAGTTCTGGAGGCTAGAAATCTAAAGTCAAGGTGCCAGCAGGGCCGTGCTGTCTTGCAAAATTCCAGGGGAGAATTTGTTCCATGCCTTTTTCTTCGCTTCTGGTGTTGCTGGCCAGCTGTGGTGTTCCTTAGCTGTTGACAACACATTGTGCCATTCTCTGCCTCCAGAATCACCCAGCCTGCTCCCTGTTCTTGTGTCTGGCTTTTCTCCTCTTCTCATAAAGACACCAGTTATAGTGGATTAAGGATCCATCCTATTCCAGCATAATTTACATATAAATTGTCTAATCTTAATTTTATCTACAAAGACCCTGTTTCCAAATAAGGTTATATTCACAGGTACTAGGGTTTAAAACTTCAGCATATCTTTTGGAGGGACATAATTCAACCCATAACAGTAATATTCCATTGTATGAGTATACCAGAATTTGTTTATCCATTTATCTGTTAATAGACTTGTGAGTTATTTACAATTTTGGCTATTATGAATAAGGCTGCTATGAGCAATCTTGTAAAAGTCTTTTGTGTAAATATGTTTTTATTTCTCTTGGATACGTGTATTTTTTATAGAGTATGTTTAACTATATAAGAAACTGCCAACGTTTTTCCAAAGTGGTTGTACCATTTTATACCCCTCCCAGCAGTATATGCAGGCAGTTCCATTTGAATGTCCTTGCAACATTTGGTGTTATTGGTCATCTTAATGAGTGATTCTGGTGAATGTGGGGAGAGGTATCCCATTATGGTTGTAAGTACATCTCACTGATGACTAATGGTGTTGAACATTTTTCCCTGTGCTCACCGTTCTTGCTTTATGAAATCGTTTGACTATTTTTAAAAATTGTCTTTTTGTTACTGGCTTGTATGAATTTTTTATACTCTGAATGCAAGTTCTTTGTCAGATGTGTGTGTGTGTGTGTGTGTGTGTGTAGCAAATATTTGTTCACTGTCTGTGACTTGTCTATTCATATTCTTAATGGTGTCTTTTTTTTTTTTTTTCCTTTTTGTCTTTTTTCGTGTCCGGCAACGGATCGCCACCCTCAGTGTCGCGCCCGTACCGGACTCTGAATGCAAGTTCTTTGTCAGATGTGTGTGTGTGTGTGTGTGTGTGTGTGTAGCAAATATTTGTTCACTGTCTGTGACTTAGCATCGCAACCCTCAGTGTCGTGCCCGTACCGGACTCTGAATGCAAGTTCTTTGTCAGATGTGTGTGTGTGTGTGTGTGTGTGTGTGTAGCAAATATTTGTTCACTGTCTATGACTTGTCTATTCATATTCTTAATGGTGTCTTTTTTTTTTTTCCTTTTTGTCTTTTTCCGTGTCCGGCAACGGATCGCAACCCTCAGTGTCGCGCCCGTACCGGACCGGGACCGGCAACGGCATCGCAACCCTCAGTGTTGCTCCCGCACCTCGCTCAGCCAGTGAGCGGGAACCGGTCTGTATGTGGGATCCGAACCCTCGGCGGGAGCGCCGCCGCGCTTCCCAAGCTGCGCACTTAGCACAGTGCGCCACCGGGCCGGCCCTAATGGTGTCTTTTAATTGGGTTTCACTCTCTCTCTGTCTTTTCAATGGTTTGCTGCTGCTGTATGGAAATACAGTTGATTTTTGTATCTTGACCTTATATCTCAACATTTTAAAATTTATTTTCTAGTAGCTATGGACTAGATCTGTTAGGATTTTCTACATAAACAAAGAGGTCATCTGTGTATAGAGAGAGTTTTCCTTTTTCCTTTCTGATTTTTATGCTTTTGCTTCTTTATCTTGCTTTACTCTGCTGGCTGGGGCCTCCAGTGCCAGTTGACTAGAAAGGGTGATAGTACATACCCTTGCCATGTTCCCAGGTTTACAGGGAAAGGGTTCAATATTCACCATGGAGTATGATGGTAGCTGTAAACTTTCAGTAAGGGATCTTCACCAGACAGCCTTCTATTCCTATTTTTCTGGAAGTAACATAAATGGATGTTGAATTTTATCACATGCTTTTCCAGCATGTTCATTCCTTGAAAAGATTAATAAAGCTTTTATTTCCTTTTGTCTATGTTATTTGTGTTTAATTTGCCTGTTTTGGGGTTTTTTTTCCTACCTTCTTAAGATGAACACTTAGACCACTGATTTTAAATCTTTTATCTTTTTAAATATGAAACGTTCCCTGTAAGCATTGCATTGCTTTCACTCCATCCCACAAATTTTGACATTGTATCTCATTATCAGTTTTAAATATTTTCTTATTTTTCTGTGTATTTCTTAATTTCCAGATATTTGCTTTAAATAACCATATGTACTTCTTATATACTTTTCATTTTGAAATAACTTCAAACATATGGGAAAGTCACAAGTACAACTTAAATAACCGTTTGTTCTGGGACTATTTGATATAGTAACTTGCCAACTTGATGCTCTATTCACTCCCAAATACTGTTAGGTGTTATGCATATATATATATATATATATATAGAGAGAGAGAGAGAGAGAGAGAGAGAGAGAGAGAGAGATTCATTCCTGTGTAATCACAGTTTACCTATTAAAATTAAGAAATTGTATTTGATACTTTATCATCCAGTCCTCAGACTATGTTCAAATTCTAATTGTTTGTATATGATAGTATGGACAAAAAAACCCTCCAGTTCAGAAACACTTGTTGCATTTAATTGTCACATTTCCCTTGTTTTTTTACAGTCTAGAACAGTTTCTTAGCCTTTGTTTGATTTTTATAATCTTGACACTTTTTTTTTTGTTTCATGGAATTAAATGGATTTATTTGGAGAGAAAAATTATTTGAAGGGAAAAGAAATACGGCAGTATTGGGATTGATGACACTAGGACATGACCTTGTCTCTGATGGGTTCAGGAAAAAAGACTTCATTGAGCAAGGGATGTGTAAACTGAGATCTGAAAGATTGAGTGGCCAGTAATTGCAGGGTCAAATAGAAGGACTGGTATGTCCAATGGCCTTATAACAAAATAGAGCATGGGGTTTTTGAAGAACCCAAAGTAGGCCAGTATTGCTGGAGAACAGATGGCGAGGAGAGCTGGTGAGCACGTTCAGAAAGGTGGTGAGCAGCTTCGTATCTTATAGGCCATGTTTTATCCTTAATCTAAGAGCATTATTTATGTTTGTGTTTGAAAAGACTCATGTAATTATGGTATGGAAAATGGACTGGAAGGGTGTCAGGATGACTGCAGGAGGAACTGTTGGGGGTCTGTTGCTGCATTCCAGGTGAGAGGTAATGATAGCTGGACCAGGGTCATGGTGGAAGAGAGAAAGGAAGGTGGAAAATTTGGGGAATTATTAAGGAAGTAATATCAAAAGGTCTTGGTGATGCGTTGGAGTTGAGTGGAAAAG